CTCCCACTAACGTACTCAGCATCGCTCTCAGCAGCTTAATAATTATTGATCGGACGGGTAATCATGCTTTATGCTGGATATGGCCGTAGACGTCAATTTGGAATTCGGGGTCTTTATCAGAACGTTAATTTTAAGTTGAAAAACTTTTGTAAACTAAAAAAAAGTTCCATCACTTAATTCAACATGGGTTTTCTTGACTAAACATAGTCTTTCCCACTCTAGGTATATATTAGTAAATAACTATTAAATATATATTCTTATATGTTAAAAAAAAAAAATTGAATACAAGCATTTATGTGTAATTGGAAGTACCTTTTCAAGAATTTTGCTAATTTGGTTCTATTTCATTGGTTAAGATAGGAATTTATTCTGTTCTGGCTTCGTATTTTCAATTTGAAAATTTTTTCTTGATGGGCTCAATTTCTTGTGACAGTTGTTCGGCTATACTGTAAAACTATAAGTTTTCTTAATAACCTTACTCCATCCGTTCTTTCTTCCGTTCTTAATGTTTAAATGCAAAACATTAAGAAAAATTTTAGTATTTAAACATTAAGATCAGAAGACTCTATGTATAGTTTGGGCTTATTGTATCCTTTTGGGCAACTTTTACGGTTCATTATCCAATGAGGCATTGAGAATCCAGGAGTCGGATTTCTAACTTGGTTTGGACATGTGTCTTTAGTGATAGAACCTGCGAGAATTCCCAATTTTCCTCTCACCGTATCAGCCAAACCTTTGATAGCAGTCTCCTTTGAAAGCGGGTAAATTGCTTCCAGAGAGCCCTTAACACTAAATGGTGGGTGGGATGAGGTACTTGTGGGAGAAGTACCAGATAAAGTATTAAATTAAAGGATTGCTTCATAAATTTGTAGTTATACGCATGCCATTTTAGCTGCTAATTGATGATAAAGGATGTTGCAAAAAAAATTTTTGCATTGCGGGAGCCACCAAAGTAGGATCCCTTTAGTTTGTTGCTCCCTTCTATCTGTAGGTTGTTTGAAAGCGTGTAAGATGTTGAATTATATTAATTTATTATCGCCCCTACCGAGCTATAAAAGGTATACACTAGTATATGAAATAAAAAGACATCTATAGAGGATATATATAAGACTTATCTTCTAAGTCAGTTAAATCTAAAGCTGCAACACTAACAACCATTTCATGACCTTCGTCGTCTTTAACGATACCTACTTTCTCCACTTCACCAGAATCAATCACTTTTCTTCTTTCTCTGTTTCTTCTAGCTAGTATAAGCCAAATGACACCTAAGATTAAAGGTGCACAGAAGAAACTTAATACTATTTGGACAATCCATGCAGGGTAGTACCTAGGGGCATCTTTTTCTTGCCAAAGCTGAGGACTTATGATATTTGAAATTGAATAACTCATCATCATCATAGCAGCCCTAACTTTTTGTTTAGTTTGGGATCTTGCTGTTGCTTTAGAAAGTCCGAAGGCTATAATCCACTGAACACCAAAGCATTGAGAAGCCATGACCACCCCAGCTAGCATTCCAATGGTATTACTATACTTAAGAGAAACTGCTAAGATTGACCCAACAAAGGCTGGGACAATAGACCATATTCCTGCAAAGAATGAAGTATTTGGAAAAATATAAATGACTAAACTTGCCAACCAAGCCCACAAGGTTGCAAAACCAGATCCGGCAACCGTTACCAAAGTCGAGTCTAGATTAGTTATGCCCCCGAGGTTTGCGTAAAGTAAACTTTGTTGATATGTTAAATTATTAGCTAGTTGCTGCAAGAAGAAAACGGCACAGAACAAATACGAAACATAATCTTTTAATGCTTCTAAAGCATGACTTTTCTTGAAAGATTTTTGATCAACTGCAGTGTTAGTGGTTGATTGGACCCTTCTGATAATCCATACTTTTTCTTCCGTGGTGAATAATCTGTTATCAGCTGGATTATTTGGATA